AAACATACACACACACACACACACACACACAGAGAGAGAGAGAGAGAAAGAGAGAGAGAGAGAGAGAGAGAGAGATCTTTCATTTGCTAGTTTATTCCCCAGATGGCTTCAAGGGCCAGGGCTGGGCCAGGCCAAAGCCAGGAGCCAAGATCTTCATCCAGGTCTCCCAGGTGAGTGACTAAGGAACAAACACTTGGTCCATCCTCTGCTGCTTTTCCCATACCATAATCAGGGAGATGGATCAGAAATAGAGCAGCTGGGACTAGAACCAGTGCCCCTATGGGATGCTGTCTTTGCAGGCAACAGTTTTACCTGCTATGCCACAATGCCAGCCCCTAGAATGCAATTTTAAAGTACAGAAGAGCAGCAAAGGAGTAAGTTTTCAGTAAAGATTGTCCAAAGTCAAAGGTATCAATATAAAGGTACCATAAGAACACAAGAAAAAGGAGGACACTTGGCAGTTGAGTAATCACTGATTCACAAAAAAAGTATCTTATATAATTATTAGTATGAAGAGAATCATGTCTTAACCAAAACTATCTGAAGGCTGAACTCTGGGTGCCCTGTATACAAGAAATTTGTCCTTGTTTTTCTCCCAGCAGCTGACTGCAATTTTGGTGGCTTAAATAAAAACTGGAATTTTTTTCTACATCTGAAACTTACATATTTGATGGGATGTTTTTGTTTCTGAAATCTTTCACTAACCAAATAAGGCTCTAGTAGATATGGACACAAGTCATACTATACATACACATGCATTCATGCAAACATATTAAACACTGAAATATACTCCAGATCTTGGGAACAGGAACCTACTTTCTCTTGATATAAAGTAAAATCCTTTTTAGAAAGAATTATAGGTTTTGGTGTATAAATACAACATTTTCATGTAAGATGTCTTATACTTTTCAGCTGTTATCTCAATTAAACAAATAGGGAAGTTAAGTCAATATACCTGCACTATATTTTACATCTGCTGAATTCACTAAAGATTACCCTGGCTAGTGACCTACATGATACATAAAAGGCACTAAGCAGGGGCCAGCACTGTGGTGTAGCAGGTAAAGTCATCGCCTGCAGTGCCGGCATCCTATATGGGCACCAGTGCAAGACCCTGCTGCTCCATTTCTGATCCAGCTCTCTGCCATGGTCTGGGAAAACAGTAGAAGATGGCCCAAGTCCTGCGTGGGAGACCCAGAGGAAGCTCCTGGCTCCTGGCTTCAGATCAGTCCATTTGGGTAATGAACCAGCAGGTAGAAGACCTCTCTCTGCCTCTGCCTTTCTGTAACGCTGTCTTTCAAGTAAATAAATCTTTTTTTAAAAAGACACTAAGCAAATTTTGGTTAAGCGAATTAATAAGCAAGAGCAATCAGCAATACCAACATTTAACTGAAGACTTATCTTAATTATTCCTATAAACTGAAATAATTTACATTTTAATGTTGCTAGGTTTGAGATAGTAAAGATCTACTTCAAGTTCATAAATGTTTTTAGATGTTACACCCTTCATTTCCCCAGCAGCAGCCAGGCCTCTGTCAATAACTGTATAGTAACATTACAAGTCTCCATGTCTTAAGCTAACAAATAAAACCAGGAAGATATTAAGAAAATTAATGAAGTATTATTTCAAAGATACTTAAAGGATTGTTTAAAAGTATTTTCCTTCATCAGTTATTCTTGGTGGGATCTGAAGTAGCCACCATCAATCTACTCATTGGACTCCAAACAGACAAAGCAAAAAAAGACAAGGAAGCTTCAAAAAAGTTCACATCAGAAATTCATATTCTCTTTTAATTCCATTTCCCATGAATTTTGGGGGTTCCCTTGCATGTTACAGCTATAATCTGCATTTTTCTTAGGTTTTGACACATGTGGGTTAAAATGAATTTCCAATTAAAGGAATAATTTAAATATCCCTGGCTTGTACATCCACTTGTGACAGGCCCTCAGGCCTCTAGCCATCTTCTGTATACATCTTTTCAATGAGTGCAAGTCTGCAGTAGCTATCTCATACCTAAATAATAATATCCTTGAAAACTCCTGTGATGACCCTTGACTTCAGTCATCATTCCTATAAGTACTCTAGTCTCTAATAGAACCCTGCAAAAATCAAATCTATCAAGGTCTATTTCAAGGAAAGAAATATCCCTTTCATTTTGCTTTGGCGAAAGGACTGTTGCTTAGGTGACTGAACTGAAGTTCTCTCTCTCACTACTCTTCTCCCTCAACCCCCAGCTTTCCTTAAAATTTTAGGAAGAGTCCCTCTGCTCACCACAAAGCTCAGATATATTCCTGTAGGTCCAGGACCCATAACACATGCTGATCCTGCCTCCATGACAGCCAAGGCTCTCTGCTGAGGGCCCAACCCATCTAGTTCCTCCTTTTTCCAGGACATATTCCTCAGTATTTCTGCAAGCATGTTTCTGGCAAGCACAAGATAAAAAGTTGCCAAGTATGCCTGAATTCCAGTCTCAGCTGTGACCACTTTCACATACGGCAAGATGAAGAGATACATGTTAATGTATCTCATCCACAAACAACTTCAGGAGAATTTGTCTCTGGGATGCCTTGATCCTGCAACTGAGAGCAGACCTCTCAATCTTGGGACAGATGGGATGTAATGAAAGGAGCTGCTGGGGAAAGAGAAAGAAAAGCTAAAAATTAGGAAGCTGGAGATCCTGCCCAGGGAGAAAACATGCAGAAAACAGGTGCCTTAAGGGTGCATGGCCATAGGCAGTCACAAGACCCTGAACACACAGGCAGAGGACAACAGAGATACCCTTAACCAGGGTTCAGAGCTTCTGAGACTGGTCTTGAAAACTACTTGAAGTAATTATCTTTTCTATGAAATTCTATATGAAAGTTTAATTTCACAAATTTATTACTAGTCTCTCTGCTAACTGGCTCTGTTCCATCTTTAGCCAGTCAAAACATTAGTCTACAAGACACCAAAAATCCAGCCAATTCAGCCATAATCAAAACTCCAGTTAAGCAGCCAGCTGTTCAGCAATCAACTGGACTAACTGCATGCCTGGATTGATGGGAAGGACCAGATGTTTTGGCATTATGTAAATGTTAAGTGCCAATTGAAAATAAGGGTGTTAGCTGTCATTTTGCATACACTGTTAAATTAGCACTTGCACTTTTCTCATGATTAGGAAACAAAGCCAGGAATGATCTAAGATATGCATATGCAAACACATGTACACATGAGCCCTGAAAACAGTAGTGAGTGAGGTTGTACGGGAGGGAGCCTGTCACAGGTGGGAGAGGGGCGATAAGTTAATTCATACAATCTCCATTGCATAAATGTACTTGGTGTGCCTGTCTCTTGCCAGATTGTGTTTGGCATATGGGGGATGCTGCCGGAAGACAGAGGGCAAGATGGTGTAATCTTGAGGGCATCTGTCCCTGCACCCCATTTTCTTTGTCCCCTCGGATACCTCCAGAGACCTGGAAATCCCTTAAAGTAGTCCTTTCTTCCATGGTTCAGCTTCTGAGAGCCCCATTCACATCCCTCAAGTTCCCTCTTTGTCATCTGTGTAACCTGCTCTCTGGAAAAAATTTCATCTACAGAGGGACCTAGCATGACTTCTGTTTTTCTGGCTGAACCCTAAAGTAACACAGAGGCTAACCCAACAAAGTAAAGTATCTTCTCATCCTAGGGTTTCAAGGGCAGCCTGGGGCTTATTAAAATACAGCCCAAGTGCTGAGGCAATGAAGGGGGTGAGCTGAGCTCTTCTCCTTTTCTTCTCCCTATCACAACTTAAACTGACAAGAGTAAATGCTAGCTTTGCCATCACAATTAAATGATACAGAGATTTGTGTGGCCCCTGAACACAGAATCAAAAAAAAAAATTTTGTGAAGCCTTTCATATAGTTACTGTCTATATTGTATACCTTAGATAAATGCAAAAATTATTTTAAAACAAATGATTTATCAAAGCTTATGCCACTCATTTTTCTCCAGTAATTCTTATGAGAGAAAGCTCCCAAATCAAGCATTCAGAGCACTTTGTGGCCCATGAACACAGATGAAACAAAATTTGAGAAGCCTTTCATATCATTACTGTCTATATTGTATACCTTAAACATACACAAAAATTCTTTTAAAGAATATGATTTATCAAAGCTTACTCCCATTTTTTGCCAGTGCTTCTTATGAGAGACAGCTCCCAAATCAAGCATTCAGAACACTTTGTAAAAGGACCTAACAATCTTTTCTTCCTGCCCCACTTTCCATGTGTCTGTAAATAGACTTCTTAATGTGATTCCATCATTTGCTCTCCTTTGCTGTAGAGAGGACGAACATTTCCAAATGTCCTTCAAAGAGTACTTCAGAGGTGACAGCTTTTCAGTTTTAAGTCAGAAGTCACTTCAACAATTTCCTTAATAAATTTAAAAAATTACACCTTTTTTTTAAAAAAGATTTATATATATTATTTGAAAGTCAGAGATACAAAGAGAGAGGAGAGGTGGGGTGGGGGGGAGAGGTCTTCCATCTGCTGGTTCAATCCCCAAATGGCTGAAACAGCCAGAGCTGAGCCAATCTGAAGCCAGGAGCCAAAAGCTTTTTCCGGGTCTCCCACAGGGGTGCAGGGGCCGTAGCGGCCATTTGGGGGGTGAACCAACAGAAAAAGGAAGACCTTTCTCTCTGTCTCTCTCTCTCACTGTCTAACTCTGCCTGTCAAAAAAGTAAATCAGCAGGTGGAAGATCTGTGTGTGTGTGTGTGTGTGTGTCACTTGATCTTTCAAATAAATAAATACAACTTTAAAAAAAAAAAAAAGCCCAGGACCACATGACTTCATTGCTATATTCTACTAAACATTTAAGAAGAGAATTAGCGCTCTTAAATGTCCATCAGCTTATGAATGGATACACAAAATGTGGTATATCCATGCAATGGAATGTTTTTGCATCATAAAAAGAAATACATGGAACAATATGAATGAACCTTGGAAATAGTAAGTTAAGTAAAAGAAGCCAGACACAAAAGGTCTACATTTTAAGATTCCATTTATTTGAAATGCCCAGAATAGACCAATCCATAGAGACAAAAAGTAGATTTGCAATTGTATGGGCTAGGGGAATAGGGAATAACAGAGTGACTGCAAATGGGTACAAAATTTTCCTGGGGTGATGAAAATGTCCTAATATTAGATAATTATGATACTTATACAATCAAAGCAATTATACAATTTTTGAATATATATTTATTTATTTGAAAGCAAGAGTTATAGAGAAGCAGAGGCACAAAGAGAGAGAGAGAGAGGTCTTCCATCAGCTGGTACACTCCCCAGATGGCCACAACAGCAGGAGCTGGGTAGATCCAAAGACACAAGAGTCAGGGGCTTCTTCCAGGTTTCCCACTCAGGGCCCAAGCACTTGGGCCATCTTCACTGCTTTCCCAGGCCATAGCAGGGAGCTGATCAGAAGTAGAGCAGTTGGGACTCAAACCTGCTTATAATGAAATTGGAGAAGCACAACAAACACAGTTGAACGCAGAGTACAGCAGTCACTCATGTCTTCTCAGTTTATCCACCCTCAAAGCCCTGGAAAATTCCTAGCTGTTATTTCTCACTGCCCCATACCATTCTGAGTGTTTTTTCCTCCAGCAAATGAAAAGTCTCCAGAAATTTAATAGAAAAAGAAGACAAGACACAAGTCTAATCAAAGTAAGATTGATTACTTTGCTGACATTCTATAAAGGGAAAAATAGCATCTTAAGGAGCTAAAACGTTTTCCTTATTCATTAATATTTAAAATAAACCTGTAATTGGATCATTTGGTTTTAACCACTTCTTTGATTTACAGAAGCAGATTCATTATAATTGGTATTTAAAAATTCATATCAAAGAGAAATTTATTAAGAATCCTGGCTAAAATTTGTAATTGGCTATTATAAGAAAATTTTTCTATTAATAGTGAGATTTTTTTCTAGGGAGCATTTCTTAAAGTAATTAACACTGAGATGCAGTAACTAGGGATTTAAACTATTTTTTAAAGATAGTTAAAACTGCCACAAAAGAGAAAAATTTATTCAATCTATTCCATGCATAATTGGAAAATCCATAGCAAGCTCTGAGAAAGCAATGAATTCACATACTATTGCCTAGAAAAAATCTCTAAGTGAACAATAATAGAGAGTACTTTTATTGAAAAATTCGATACCTTAAAAGACTAATGAAAATGCTGAAATTATAATTTTTATAGACTTCAAAACTATATATACATATTCACATGTATGCACATTTATATTATTTCTAAATGGTATTACTATGCTCATGAAAATTCTATATTCATTTTAAAGAAGATTTAGATGCTAAATTTTGCACTGACACCTTGGGGATTTGTGTCAAAGCTAAAGCAATGTATCAGTGAAAAATTCCAGAAGAAGCTGTTTTTAAACAAAAGTGAACTGAAAGGCAATAATGTGTTTATCTATTAGGAAGTTAAACAATAATCTTTCACCTTGAAGTCACAATATTAAAACTGCCTCTCATTTACCTATAGTATTTCACAAACCATTAAGGCAGCTGGCATATGAATTCTATTTGGACCCTTCCTGGCAATTGTCTGCCAGACAGAAATTTAATAATCTATTTGAACTTCAATTACTGCATCTGAAATAGTGAGAGTAATATGTTCTAAAATTCTAAGACTTGCAGACTGTAGCAGAAAAGGATACTGCATTTCATGATATTGCTGCACCATAGTTGATGTACAGGTCAAATAGCTTTATAATACAAATAATCTTCATGATATTTTTATTTATCATTATCTAGCAATTACTAGAATATCCATACAGGCACTAGTGCTAGCATTAATTTCTGACTATTCTCTTTTATCATAAACTCTAGAGTGTAGACTTAAGATGTCAGAAAAAAATCACCTTTCAGCATACATTCAGATACTTTCGCTTCAAGCCAAAAGAGAGATAAAAGGCATGAGTTTAATGTGGGCCTTTGGCACAGTCCTTAAGATATCTGGGTCACCTGCATCCCATATCAGAGTTCATGTGTTTGAGTACCAGCTCTGCTTTTCATTCTAGCTTCCTGCTAATTTGCACCCTGGGAGGCAGCAGGTGATAGTTTAAGGATTTGGGTTGCTCCACCCACACAGCAAACACAGATGGAATTCCTGGATCCTGGCTTCAGTGTGTCCTACTCCCAGCTATTTCAAGAATTTGGAGGGGCTGGCGCTGTGGTGTAGCAGGTAAAGCCGCCGCCTGAAGTCCCAGCTGCTCCACTTCTGACTCAGTTCTCTGCTATGGGCTGGGAAAGCAATAGATGACCCAGGCCTTGGGGCTCTGCACCCCTGTGGGAGACCTGGGAGAAGCTCCTGGCTCCTGGCTCCTGGCTCCTGGCTCCTGGCTCCTGGCTTCAGATTGGCGCAGCTCCAGCCTTTGTGGCCAACTGGGGGAGTGAACCAGCAGATGGAAGACCTCTTTCTCTCTCTCTCTCTGCCTTTCCTTCTCTCTCTATGTAACTCTGAATTTCAAATAAAATAAATAAATCTTTAAAAAAAAAAAAAAGAATTTGAAGAGTGAATCAGTATATGCAAGACCTGTCCATCTCTCTGTCCATCTCTCAAATAAATAAATAATTAAATCCTTTTAAAAATGGGATGGGCTTAGCACTGTTACCACATCCCACGTTATAAACAACCAGAAAATATGAGAAATAGTGGTTTATGGACATTAAAGAAGAGGCATACAGGACTGCAGTCCATGAAAGAAAGAAAACAGATGATGAAAGTGCAAGATGCACCAGCTTAACTCCTATAAGCAGCTTCCAGGCAACAACAGAGTCAGGCAGTCTCTCTGAGTTGAAAAAAACAGATATTAAAATTAAAGAGAACCAAGAAAGGTGGAATGAGTAGGACACAGTATCACAGAGAAAGGAGCTGCACAAAGACAGACTCCCCAGATCTGCCATGGGATTCACATATTTTGGCTGAATACAGGTGTATGCATGCATGACAGGAAATGACCCAATCTAGGGGAATAAAAAGGAATGGAGTAGTGAGAAAAACCTTGTAACTGAGAAGACTAGTAGTAATTCATGTTGCCACCAGTCAGAATGAAAATAAACGCCAAAACTAACAGCAACAAACTAGATAGAGCATCAAGTAGAAGCTTCAAGAGGGGTATTGCATTTGAAGGCTCAAAATAATAGAATTGCTAAAAATTAGTGACAAAAAGAAAATCTTAAAATCAGCCAGGAAAATAAGGTGCTTTGTTATAGTACATACACAGCAATAATAAACCATGAAAGCCACATATATAGAAAGGCAAAAACAATCTGTTTACCTACCATTCTTGACCAAGAGAAAACACCTTTCAAAAATGAAGAGTAAATACAAACTGGCCGGCGCCTCAGTTCACTAGGCTAATCCTCTGCCTTGCGGTGCCGGCACACCGGGTTCTAGTCCCAGTCGGGGAGCCGGATTCTGTCCTGGTTGCCCCTCTTCCAGGCCAGCTCTCTGCTGTGGCCAGGGAGTGCAGTGGAGGATGGCCCAAGTGCTTGGGCCCTGCACCCCACGGGAGACCAGGATAAGTACCTGGCTCCTGTCATCGGATCAGCATGGTGCGCCGGCCGCAGCGCGCCGGCCGCGGCGGCCATTGGAGGGTGAACCAAAGGCAAAGGAAGACCTTTCTCTCTGTCTCTCTCTCTCACTGTCCACTCTGCCTGTCAAAAAAAAAAAAAAGAGTAATATAAACTGAACAAAATGAAGAGAATTCATCACCACGAGAATAACCCTCCAATAATATTAAAGGAAGTTCTTTAGACAGAGCTGAAATAACACTAGTCAAACCTCAATGAAAGATTGAAGAATCCCAGAAATGGGAAGTACATATGAGAATGTAAAAAAATAATTTTCTCATTTTTCAAAACTTAAGTGACTAAAGCAAAAATTAGAATAATATAGTGTGGGTTCTATAGCATATCTGAAAACAAAATACATAACATAAGAGTGGGAATAAGAGAGGGAAGAGATGTATAATTTGGGACATGCTCAAGCTGACTTGCCCCAAATGATAGAGTTAAAAAAAAAATACATAACAATAACACAAGCGATAATGAGAACAAAATCCAATATTGTAAACTTCCTATTTTACATACGTGGATGTCTAATACTATTTGATATAAACCAAGTTAAAAGTGGATATTGGCAACTCAAGAAAAGCCAATGAAAAACAAAACAAGAAGGTATACCCCCAAAGATGTCAATAAAATATGACTATAAAAATAGTCAATTTATTCATGAAAAGGAAGAGGAACAGGAAAACAAAACAAAGAGCAGGAAAGGCAAATAGAAAATAACAAGTTGGTAGGCTTTATTTAACCAACTGAATAATGACATTAAACAAAAATAATTTCAAGATTCCATTTAAAAGGCAAAATTTGCCGCACTGCACCAAAAATACAAGAAATAAAAGGATGGAAAAGTACATACCATGCTAACACTTATCAAAAGAAATTTGAGGGGCCAGTTCTGTTGTGTAGCAGGTAATGCTACCACTTGTAGTGCTGGCATACTATGTAGGTGCCAGTTCAAGTCCCAGCTGCTCCACTTCTGATCCAGTTCTCTGCTATGGCCTGGCAAAGCAGTGGAAGATGGACCAAGTCCTCGGGCCCTTGCACCTGCATAGGAGACCTGGAAGAAGCTACTGGCTTCTGTCTTTAGATCAGCCCAGCTCCAACCATTGCAGCCATTTGGGGAGTGAACCAGTAGATCAAAGAGATCTCTCTCTCTCTCTCTCTCTCTCTGCCTCTCTGTAACTCTGCCTTTCAAATAAATTAATAAATCTTTAAAAAAATAAAATTTGAGTGGCATTATTAATATCAAAGTATTTTAGATCAATGAAAATTATAATGGTTAAAAGAGGAGTATTTCATAGTGAGAAAAAGTTAATTCATGACGAAGGCACAACAATCCTATATGTGTGACCAAATTGTGTGGCCCCACAATTCATATCTGTAGTCTTGACTCCCATGTATGTGACTGTGTTGGAAATAAGGACGCTATAGAAGTGATTAACATTAAATGAGGTTATAAGTGCTGAGGCCTAATTTATTAGAAGTGTTATCTAAAAGAGGAAAGACCTTGGAGGTGTTTTTCTGCCATGAAGGGCACAGTGAGAAGACAGTCATCTGCAAGCTAGGAAGATAGCCCTCACCAGAAACTATGTCAGCACTGTGATCCTGTGTGTTCTGGCCTCCAGCCCTGTGAAAAAATGTGTTTTCTATTTAAGTCAACCACTCTATGTTACACTGTTATGGCAGCCTGTATTCAACACCTACAAACAGGACTTCAAACTACAAGCATTACAACTGATAGCACCGAAAGGAGACATATACAGATCTTCCCTTATACAGCAGTCCCTCCTTACCCATACTTTCACTTTCCACAGTTTCAGATATTCATAGTCAACTATGTCCAAAAATATAGAAGGCAAAATTCCATAAACAAACAATCCATAGTTTTAAATTGCATGCTGTTTGGAGTAGCTTGATGAAATCTCAGGCAATCACATTCCATCCTGCTCAGAACATGAATCATTCCTATGTCCAGCATGTCTATGCTATTATGGTAGCCATTTTGATTATCACATTGAAGGTCAGGTACTACAGTGCTTCTGTGTTCGAGTAACCTTTATTTTACTTAATAATAATGCCCCCAAAGTAAAACAGTAATATTGCTGGCAATGCAGATATGAAAAAAAAACTATAAAGTGCTTACTTTAAGTGAAAAGGTGAAAGTTCATCAATATGTATATAGGAAAAACAATAACTATCTATATCCATATCCATATAGACATAGACATGGTTCAGCACTATCTGCAGTTTCAGGCACCCCCTAGGGGTCTTTGAATATATCCCCCATGGATCAAGGGAGACAGCTTTATCTGAAGACTGATGTTTCTCTCTCAATAATTAATAGAATAAGGAGTCAGAAAATCTGAAGGATATAAAAGACTTGAACAACATTATCAACTGACTTCACTTAACTGACATTTTCATAAAACACCATGACCAACTGAAGCATAATATACATATTTTGCAAGAACTCATTGTATGTTTACATCATTTAGTACCTTAAAACAAGTCTTAAGAAATTATGGGTGGGAGGGAGGTTATGGGGGGAAAATGTTATAATCCAAAATCTATATTTATTAAATAAAAGTTTTAAAAAATTAAGTAACACACACAAAAAAAAGAAATTTAGAATTGAAATCACACAAAGTTATGTTGCTATTTCAACTGAAAGCAATCTGGAAAATCTCCAAATATTTGCAAATAAAACAACACACTTGTGAGTAATTCATAAATAAAGAAGAAATGACAAAAAAGTAGAAAATATTTTAACAGCACAAAATTGAAACACAACATATTGAAATGTATAGTATGCAGCTGAAACAGTATAAGAAAAATTAAGATAAATGTTTACATCTGAAAAGAAGTATGGTCTCCAACAAATTATATATCATAAGAAACTACAAAACGAATTTTTAAAAAAGCCCAAAACAAGTAGGAAGAAGTATAAAGAAATCAATGGTTTTAAAAACAAAGAAGAAAAAAAACTAATAGTATAAGAAAAATTAATAGAATTGATAAATCTGTAGTTAAACGGATGAGGAAACATAAAGACACAAATTACCAATACCAGGAATGATGATGCCTGCCCCTTCAGAAAGGTTCTATTCACACCTAAAAATAAATGTTATAATCACAACAATAAAAATAATCACCTATAGATCACTTTTATATGCAGGAAAAGTTCTAAATAAATATATATTTATATATGTGCATTTAATACATATATATAAAAATTCTAAATACATATGTGTGTGTATATACGTACAGTATATATATAAAGTCATTTAATCACAAGACAACTCCAACTAGGTAGGTATATTATCAACCCTATCCTACAGATATGATATCCTGAGTGAGGAGCTTTTCCCAGTGTAGATATAGAATGCATTACTAATTCAGAACCAAAAGGAGAAGTCATGAACAAGGGGAGAAAAGTGCGGATTGTGCCAGCCTGGGGAAATTGTGATGGAAGAGAAAAGACTTCAGCAAGCTTTTAGAAGGTTTGTGCACCAGTTTTTCACACTATATGTCACAATCTACCACTATCAAATATCTAGAACTTCAGCAGAATAGTTTGAACACATTTCTCAGCTATCTCAATAAACATTTTTTAATATTTACTGTGTTCTTGGCTCTAGGACCAGAGAGATGAACAGAAGATGGCTATCCTGAGAATGTATATACAACACACACCATATTGTTAGTTGTCATTGGGGTACAGTCCTGCTTTCAAAAAGCTTAGAATCCAGTTCATTGGGTATTATGTGGATGTGTGCATGCATGCATGTACATATGTGTAAATCTATTAAAAAACAACTAAGACTAGATTATAATCATGGGGTAAACTGAATATTACAGTTGGCCCTCCCTTCAAGAGTTCTGCATCCATGGATTCAACCAACCACAGACTAAAAATATTCAGAAAAAAAAATGTTTCTATACTGAACATGTGCTGCTTGTTTTACATAAGGGATCTGCACATCTGTGGACTTTGGTGTCCACTGCATGTATAAAACAGTAGGCCCATGTGTACAAGTAAAGGTGGGGGGGGGGCAGGGAGGAGGCACTGATCCTTACTCTGGCTAAGGGAAAGTATTGTTATAAGACAACTGAAGACAAACCTAAATGTGGAAAGGGGGCAGGAGGAATGTGAATCAGGGCATGAAAATTAACCTGAATTTCAGATTATTGTTACAAATAAAGGCTTGATGTCTTACATCCACAAACTCTTAAGCATTCTAAATCATTCTGCTTTACTCCATAGGAGAAAGGACAGAAATACAAGATGGAGTGCAGAGAATGCCCAAAACAATAGGAAAACAGGTCTCAAAGCTCATTTAATATTCATATAATTTCCTTGGAATTCAGAAGTATCAATAAAAATCAAATATAGGAAAACTTTACCTGATCCAAGATTCTATTGGTATTTTTAAGTACAAAAGCATCTTTAATCAATTAATAAACATCATTGATCTCAGCAAACATCATCATCGATACTCCTGTGGGATGGGAGAATGCCTGCTATGCTCAAATGACAGGCCACTGGGTCTTCAGGGTTCCAGGAATATTCCCACTGCAATCTGTTAGCAAATTAGCAAATGTTCTTAGTGACGGGAGTACACAGCCCAGTATTATATCCTTACCCTCATGCTCAGCTCAAATGACCCCAGCACAATGTCCCTCTGCTGCTCTCCTGATTCCCTCTAATGGGTCTAACTACCAATTAAATACCTTCTCCATCTCCATGTCTAAATTTAGGCACAGGTATCAGGTTTGGAGGCCTGATGAGACTAATTAAGTACTTTGCAGAAGTGAGAAATAATCAGTCCTAGAATGGAAAAAAAGGGAGAAAATCCCCAGAAGTGAATCTGCCACATTTCCTGTCCCTAGTGAAGATTCAATATTCTACCACAAATTGAAGGGCTCTGTGTTAACAGCAGGAAACAAAATCTCATCTCACAACTCTTTTCTCTCACTATTTCAGTCCATCCACCACAACCTCAAGTTCTAAAAGCTCTGCATTGTCTTATGCTGACACCTAGTGTCCAAAGTCAGGAAAGCCCAAAGGTGACATTTCTTCAGTCATCAAGGGGTTTCCTGTTAGACTCGGCCACCCTGTACACCAGGGTTCCTAGTGTTTCTTCACTCCACTTCAGCACACACCCAAAAAGTGTAAATATGGTTTTATTTTTTATTGTTAAAGTCCCAAGTACTGTGAATCTGCAAACTCTTCCCAGGGTGACATCTATCCACTCAGCATATATCAAAGTTCCACCTTCCACCTCTCTACTCTCCTCCAGCACTGGGATGTGAGCTCTCTTTATGTATAGTCTATATATAGTAACAGCATTATTAACTGCACAAAATATAATTAGACAGAGACTGCACAAGAAATGAATCAGAATTGTTCATAACATTTTAAGGCTGTAGAATTATGTCATTTTGTAAATTTACCTTTTCTCTCCTTCTACTCCCATAACCACACAGTGGGGCAGAGAAAGAGGTGTTAATGCACAATCAAAAATCAACATAACTGCAGAATAGAAATTAAAAATAATCTCAAATAGAAGGTATGAAAATTTTTGAAGATGTAAACTTTCAGACAGCAATGATTTATCTCAAAGCCTTTTTAGATCTATATTCCTATCTGAATCAGATGTTTTCTCTATCGGGCAAAAATTGAAGAAGTGAGCAATTAGAGTTTTCCATTCAATCCTTCCATATTTATACTAAAAAATACTGTGTATCTGAAACTTCAGGGCCTGTGCTGTGGTACAGCAGGTAAAACCACCACCTGCAGTGCCAGCATTCCATATGGGCACAGGTTCAAGTCCTAAATGCCCCATTTCCAATCTATCTCTGCTATGGCCTGGGAAAGCAGTAGAAGATAACCCAAGTCCCCTTGCACCCGTGTGGGAGACCTGGAAGACACTCCTGGCTCCTAACTTCGAATCTGCACAGCTTCAGCCACTGTGGCCATTTGGAGAGTGAATCAGTGGGCAGAAGATTCCCTCTCTCTCTCTCTCTCTCTCTCTCTCTCTCTGCCTCTGTGTAACTTTGCTTTTCAAATAAATAAAATATTTTTTAAAAGAAAGAAAGGAAGAAAGAAAGGATGGAAGGAAGAAAGAAGGAAGGAAAGAAACTCAAATTTAACTGGTTGTCCTGTACTTTGTGTGGGGAGCAAACCGGACTAGACTGAGTTACTGGAATTAAGACTTATTCTATGCATCTGCTCCCACACAATATGGCGCTGGGAGAGAAGTAAACAGCTTCCGCACAGCTGCCTCCAGTTCAACCAATAAACTGTAGGACTTGCTCCTGATTGGAGGAGAGCAGCGTACTCGGCGTGTGGGCAGCCGAGTTGGGATTGGCGGAGGAGGACTATAAAGGAGGAGAGAGACGGCATGCACCAGGAACATCTATGGGGAACATCTAAGGGGAACATCTAGCTGAAGGAACACCTGTGCAGCCCCCGAGAAGAGCCGGCCGGCGGTGTGCCGCTCCCCTGCGGAAGTGGGGAATGTGGCCAGGGGGAACTGCCCTTCCACGGAGGTGGAAGGGATAGTAGCCAACCCGGGAAGAACCAGCAGCAAACCCGGGGAGGGCCGAGCAGACGAAAGAACAGCGCAGGGTCCTGTGTCGTTCCTCCACGAAGACGGGGAGCGACACTTTGTACTTTGTCAGGTAAACCTACCTGGGGGAGTACGAAAATCCCAACCTGGAAAAACAACTAGGCTTCTAGCAAAGACCTGCGCTGTCTTTATGGAAATGGCACTTAGGGGAGTTCAAATGATCAAATAACAAAGTAAAGCCTCGACAACAAAGCATTCAAATAACACCTTGCACTTATTTAATGCTTTGTAATCAATAAAATCTGTTCAAATTTATTAATTATCTTATCTGTATCATTAATTATATTATCTGTATTATTCTCATGAAAACTCTCACATGCCCATTTCACAATTCTAGATGATGAAAATAGATGTCTAAGAGCTGTCATCATAATCCACGTGGAGGTGATGGAAAAGCTATAACGTGAATCCAAATCTACCAGTATAGTGCAAACTTTACAAATAAAGAAAATCCTCATGTGAGCATTACATAAGAATTTCAAAACCTCTGTCCAGGAAAATGAAAAGATATCCTCAGAAAGTTACTGAACCACCTTACCTACTTTCAAAGTGCAGAATTCAGTTTGGCTTTTAAACCACAAAAACATTCATTTAATTTCCCCAAGTACAGTGAGGACATTATTCTTCTGATGCAAGCTTATTCACATATATCCAAAATCTCTAAATCTCTTTGTAAACCATCTATATATCCTGGAGACCTTCAATAAAATCTGAACTTGTTTAATCTATAAGTCACTTTCCCTAGATCTTTACAAGTCAAATTGAGAAAATGTGCTTGTAATAATTCTTTTTGCTGTTAACTATTAGACTCATTTTTAAATTGTAGAATAGTGACACCTGGTGTTCATAGTGTGTATTGCATGTCTTCCTTCAGTTCAGTGTTTGCCTTTTACCTGTGATCCTCAAATTCTAGTGTTCATAGTAAGTTCTCTGAAGAGCTTTTTGAAATGCAAATTTCTAAGAGTATACTCTCATAAATTTTGATTCTGTGCATACGAGGCCAAGTTCATTTTGCAAGCCCCACTGCTACCAACCCTAAGCCCACCTCTTGGTCAGTTTCATTCAAGGGACTATAACAGTGTTTCTCAAACTCTACAACAAACACAAGGTGCTAGAAATCTTGTTAAAATACAGATTATGAGACAGTAGTTTGGGTATGAAGCCAGAGACTGCATTTCTAACAAACTTCTGGGTAACTTTATACCCCCATTTTAAACCTATTAATTTCCTCTTGTTTATGTGGCTAGATTACTATAGTCACATTTACAAAATGTGAATGATGGATGCTTCTTGCTCACTGGTTAAAGAGGTTTTGCTTTAATCTTATCCTTACCTCTGTTCTCTACTTTGTCCACATACTCAGAGTCCTAAGGGATAGCCAAAGTCACCTCCAGAAATAGCTAGGAAGAAAACAGGCCAAGTTTCTGATAGGAATCCCACCTAAACCTATGCCTTTTCCTATCTAGAACAAATCATTTCTGGTACCAAAGAGACAAAAAGGCCCAGGGAAGTAACAATCTTTATGAATGTTATACATGTCCTTGAAAGCCAAAGCTCCTTACCACATTATCACCTCCTCCCAGAATGGAGTTTAAAGGAATTGAATGATCATATGATATCAGCTAACATTTACTGGGTACTTGCTAAGTTCCAGGCACTGTGTTAAATTCTTTATATGGATTATCTAGATAGTTCTCAAAATGCCATTAGGTAGATAACATCATGTCCTCATTTTAATGATAAGGAGAGAGACAGAGAAGAGTAGATAGGTAATCATTAATATCATAATTAGGAGAAGGCCTTGTTAAACAGCTGGTTAAGCCACTGCTTGTGATGCTGGCATGCCATATGGAAGTACCAGTACAGTAGCTCTTGGCTACTGTGCCTCAGATCCAGCTTCCTGCTAATGTGCCTGGGAAGGCAGCAGAAGGTAGCCCAAGTACTTGGTCCCCTGCTACCCATTACAGAGATCTGAATGGAGTTCCAGCCTGGCCCAGCAGACCTGGCTGTTCTGGCCATCTAGGGAATGAACCAGAAGATAGAAAACATTTCTTTTTCTCTTTGTCACTCTGCATTTCAAATAAATAACATAAGTCTTTTTAAAAAAACTTTAAAAATGTATCATATTTTAAGCTCAGTGATAGACTATATGAGTCACAATGTAAAGGTCAAAATATTAAATCAGGGATCTTCCTCCATTATGCCCTAAAGAAATGTAACATTCTCTCTCCATCACATTTCTCTGTAATATTCCTATGTTACCATCTAGCAATGATGTCTGGAATACTACAAGGGATACCCAGGAAAATCTTGGGTTTTCTAGAAATGGCCTATGCATATGCCTGTCTCATGCATTCAGTACTAAACAGGTATTATACCCTCCATGTGGCCAACTTACAATGGTGTATTGAGTTACAGAACTCTGAAACTCTGAAACAACATTGTTTCATACTTTTCTTGAATCTAATCTCTTGTTTATTCTTCTTATTATTACCCTTCCTTTACATGTTATTTCCTTAGAACCAGGTAACAAAAATCTATGCAACTTTTTTAAATAATAGAAAGTAATGTTTCCATGCTTCTAATGTGCTGTAGAGATGCTTAGTTGAGCAGAAAATAATCCCTCTTGACTCCTTTGCTTTTATAGTATTATTGCCTTTATAGAAAGCGTAGGCAGGAATATAATAGTATTTCCAGGTTGAGCCCTTAAGTATGTACCCTTTGTTGTTGAGGACTAGTGTTTCATAGAATACAAAGGAAGTCATTTGATTATCAGAAAGCATTAGTAGAAGCATCTGTGAGAGTGATGAGAAAGGAAACCCCAGGATTACTCATTAGCCTCTGAATAATCTTGTAATCTGGTACTGTGATCAACCTTGCTAGTTCTGAAAGCTCTGCTCTGCCTCTGAAGACAACACCACGTCAAGAGGGAGTGGAAGGAGGAAAGCAAATAGACAAGTGAAAACTGCAACAACAGCTACAAGTCAGCTACTCACCTCTTTCTCTTCTCTTTAGTTTTACTGTGGTGAAAGGAACAGAGACTTTCAAGCCAGAAAAATCCAAGTTTGAATCTCATATCCATCACTATGCATCTCAATGGCATTGGGCAGTTTACTCAGCCACAGGGTCTCCTTCAGTTTCCTCACTTACGACAGGCAGGGACTACTGCTTCCCCAGCAGAGTTACTGAGAAGACAGATGTTAGGTAGGTATGGAGTCTAGAAATAGAACAAAGAACAGCTGTTGTTAAGAGTAGCTGCCACTACTTCTTCATCTGTCTTAACTTTCTACACATATTTACCAATATCCTCTTTGTGGAAAGAATATAGGGAAGTCCCAAGAGATACAACAGATCTCTTCTTTATTCTTCTTCTTATTAAAGCTTATTATTAAAGCTCTGTCCTCAGCTATTCATGCTTCATCCTTTGAATCACATGGTAATGAAACATCTGTTCCCCGCTACGCCACTGAAAGTCCTTTGGCAAAGTCACCCCTACCCTATCTCGCAGATAGGATGGACCCTTGGTTCCCAACACAACCTTTGTGGAGCACCTAATACTATTGAGAAACCACCTTTTTGATATCAAGAATATCCCCTTTCTCTCTCTCTCCATTCCTCCCTCTCATTCTGTCTTTCTACTCACAACCTACTCTCAGATTGAAACCTCTCTGAAAGTTGCCACATTTTCTACTTCTGTCACTTTAAGTAATCAATATTTCCTACAGCTCTGACTTTTGCTCCTTTCTTTTATATTCTCTACTAATTGCTGTTGATATCTTCAGAGGCAGGGACGCTTTAAAGGTTTGAAGAAACTGTACACACTGATCTTGGGAGGTTGGTGGAGGAACTGCTTTACTGAAAAATATACAAAAACCTACATACTTATTCAAAAGTTTTATAAACATTCTTCATCCCCCAAAGTCTCTCATTGAACACCAGTTCAAGGTGTCCTTATGGCTTTGGAATGATCCTCAAAAACATCTCCTACGTAGTTCACTTCCCTAAGCAACAGCCCTGTTTCCAAACAACTTATTTTTGGACAATTCCACACAAATGTCCTTCAGGCATCTTAAACTCAAAATCTCCCAAACGAAACTCATTATCTTTATCCTTAAAGCTATTCTCCTCCTGAGAGGCAGAATTCTATGGGGAAGTAAACGCTATTTTTAAACCAAACAGACCTAGATATAAATCCAGCCCCTGAAGTTCCAGCAGCATGGTTAACTTCTTTATGCTTTAATTTCTTTATTCATAACATAAGGATAATATAACATCTCCATTTTTTTGTAGTATTACTTGGGTTAAAATAAATGATGGGAAAAATGCTTATCCTTGTACCTGCCATGTGGTGTGCATTCCACAAATGCTAATATTACTGGATTATTAAGCTCAGTAAAAGCAAATCCATTCACCAAGTATCCTTAGTCAGAAATTTAGGAACCATTTTCTACTTGTCCCCTGTTCCTCATCTGGAACAAACAGATGGCAATGCTGGTGACTTCTTAACTTCCTCCTGTGCTTAGTTCAGGTTCTTGTGTTCTTTCTCATAGATACCCAAATGTTTCCTATCTGGCTGACCCAACCACAGTCCCACACCCTGTCTATCTATCCTCTGCACAGCTGCCAGAGGATCTTTTCCAAAGACATCACTCTGAAAATGGCATGACTCTGCTTAAATCTTCCTGCTTGCTTTTCCATTGCTTCCAGCACTACACCTACCTTACTGTGGCACTGAAGGCCAACTGTGATCGTGTACCCATTTACCTTCAATTTAGTCACTTAAAATAATCGTGGAGCTCCCAAGCAGCTCACAGCGCTTTGGATTCTATGCTCCTACTCACACTGCTTCCTGTACCTAAAATGCTTTCAACCCTTTGCATCTGCTCTTGACATTTATGCAAGCACCTACTCATCCTTCAAAGCAAGTCCAAGCATCACCATCCACTATGAAGTTATTCCTGACAGCCTCCTGCGATACTGTTGATGGCTGACTTCCTTCATATCCTGGTTGTATATGACAGAAGATTTTATATCACAGTAAAGATGAGTACCACATGGTTCCTAGTCTCAAAAAGCTGACAGTCACCATTTCACCAGAAATCTTGCTATATAATATGGACAAGTAAGTCAAATAGAAAGAGAAATTTTAGAATCACAAAGCTTCAAGTAACTTCAATGATCAGTTAAGTATTCCATTCTCTGAAGACTTCTGGGTTTTCTCCCACCCTCAGCTTCATGTGTGTGTGTGTGTGTGTGTGTGTGTGTTGCTATATAAGTACTGTCTATATATTAACCCATTTACTCTTCACAGAATTCATTTTAGAAGCAAGGAAATTAAAACATAAAGAGACTTAGTAATTTAGCCTGATGCATGACCCAGCTACAAATATCAAATTGGACGTTAACTCAGGATATATCCTGCCTTTCTAAAATGGCACCTGTAGGGGGAGTAAAATTCTTCAGACTGGTTACTCCTAGTTATATTTATGTTAAAGAGATAATCTAGAATTATCTCCTCAGAGCTAGAAATAATTTTATTTTTTAACTTTTATTTAATAAATATAAATTTCCAAATACAGCTTTTGGATTACAGTGGCCTTCCCCCCCCCCCCAATAACTTCCCTCCCATCCGCAACCCTCCCATCTCCGGCTCCTTCTCCCATTCCATTCACATCAAGATTCATTTTCAATTCTCTTTATATACAGAAGTTCAATTTAGTATATATTAAGTAAAGATTTCAACAGTTTGCACCCACATAGAAACACAAAGTATAAAGTACTGTAGTTATAGCATTAATTCACATAGTACAACACATTAAGGACAGAGATCCTACATGGGGAGTAAGTGCACAGTGACTCCTGTTGTTGACTTAACAAATTGACACTTTTATTTATGGCACCAGTAATCACCCTAGGCTCTTGTCATGAGTTGCCAAGGCTATGGAAGCCTTTGAGTTCGCCAACTCTGATCTTATTTAGACAAGGTCATAGTCAAAGTGGAAATAATTTTATTTTATGTCACTTATGTTTGCAATGTAAAGGCCCCAAATGACCAATTTCTTTGGAGCTTTTCTGCAAATTCCATTCCTGAAGGACCTGACATCCAGATTTTGATAAGAGACCAACAAAGAAAGAGAGCTCCTCTCTTCCGTTTCTTGCTGTGTATCTGATATTTTCTCTGAGAAAACATGCATTTCTCTCCCACCTCTCAGCTTGAGTATAATGACTTAGTCACTCACCAACTTTAGAACAATAAATCCTCAGCATTAAAAAGCACCAGTTTAAAAAAAAAGACAATTTGAGAAGAAGCATTTTTGCTTTCCATTCTGTTTTGACAAGCTAATTTCTAGGATGGAAAGGAAAAGAGGAAATAAATGTGCACCATGCGGAGTGTTGGGCAGCGACAATTTTCTGAGAGGGCCTTTGAGATGTCAAATGATACTGACACAAACAAAAGAATAAGTAAATGAGGAAAACAGCCAACTCTCTCATGCAGAGGTGTTTCAAATCATTGTGAAGATACGCTGCCCTCAGAAGAGGCTGAGTCTAACTTCCCACTCCTACAACTGGGAACGCACGTGGACATCCTTCCAAAGGGTGTCACGGAACAGGCTGGGAGAAAGAGAAACTTCACAGTGCGGAAACTGAACAAGCACTAAGCGACGAAAGTTAGCACCAACAACGGTAAGCCAGTAGTGTTGTTATCATAATGATAAGTCTCTGATACGTTGTGCTGAGAGGGGCGCTCTATCTCCGCACTCAAAAATCCGCCACCTCAGTCCATCATGAGAAACAGGTCAGGTAAACCCGAGGGGAGGGACTTTTGACAAAATGCCTGAAGACGATGTTTCAAAACTGTAAAGATTACTGGGGGGTGTGGGGGAGGTCTGAAGAACTGTCACAGTTTAGAGTCCGTGGAGCCACGGCAAGTAAATGTGACAGGGAATTCAGGAAGGCTCCTGGAACAGAAATGACCATTAGGTCACAACCCAGGGTCCAGCTCAATGAAATACGGGTTTCTGACAGAAAAACAGGAAACTGCGCCTCCTGGAGGCAATCAGAAAAGTTTGCGGTGAGAGGAATTCTGAAACGGGTTCAAGGAGTCAACGAGCAAGCTCCGTAGCCCCCTCCACCCCACCTTTCCTCCTCCCACGTCGTCTGCCCGGGAGCATCCTACCGAAAGTCAGCGCCACGTAGGCCTACGTGACACGCGTGCGCATCACCGACTCGACGATCCTTCTCATCGATGAGCTCGAAAGTGACTAGTTTAGCCTGGCCGCTGCCGGCGTAGTCGCTGCTGTCGCTGTATTCGCCGCCGCCATTTCCACGGCGGGAAGAGTCTGGTTCTGGGGCAGGTGGAGGCGGCGGTGGTGAGTGGTGCGGCCGGCTTCCTCTCGCGTTAGCCTCTCCACATTCCCCTGCCTTCGGGCCGGAGCCCTGGGTATTGCCCCCATGCCTACGAGGCCCTAGTCGTCCTGTCACCCTACTTTTTGGCTCCCTTCTTTCTCACGCCCTCAGCTCGGTCCGAACAGCTGGGAGCTGTCGCCACACGACCCGGATCTGTATTCAAACACTTGCTTCGGCCCTCAGGACTCCGGCCTGGCGGGTCCGAGTCCGAGGCGAGCCGCCGCCGCCGGGCGGGCGCTCTGCGCAGCCTCCTGAGGGCGGGGGACGGGTCCTGGCCTCCTCCTCCTCCTCGTTGGGTCCGGGTTGAGCTCAGACTTTGGTCCTGCGGTGGGCGAGGCACACGGAGGAGGAAATCGTGGACCTTACCCGAGCCGCCCGTGTTAAGAGTTCAGTCTGTCACGAACCTGTTTTGTTTTGTCCTTTCCCAGGAGTAACTTTACAAACAGGGGAGCCTTTGCGTCTGCCTGCTGTGCCAGATATGGCCAATGTGAGTAAATAGTCCCTTAAAATCGGTCATCTGGTTTGGGAATTTCTTAGGAAAGGGAGGGATTATGATGGCGTTGGCGGGGTCATGTTCGACTGAAGGTTTCAAAAATGCCAGGATAGCAAGAAGTGTGAAATCCTTGTTATGTTTGGAGGTAACTTGAGCACATTCTTTTAAATGCGTGTGCACTTCTCTAATTTCAGGTTTATATAGAAACTCAGTGCAAGTACCCCTTCCATATTTTTTAAAGACATTGTTTCAGTAGATTAGAATATTTAAGCCCCTTTTTCTCTGTAGCAGTTTCAGTATAAGAAATGACCTTTCAGATTCCACAAAATGAGAGCAAGAGCACATACTATTCATGTGAGTGAAAGATCCTGCCGTAGGCGTTCATGTAATAAGGGCACATGAAACATAGGAAAACAGGTGTAGAAAGAGTACAGTCGTGCCATTTACAAAGCTTTGAAAAAGTAAAAAGCAGATTCAGAGCTTTGTGGAGAGGGGATAGCAGGGAGTTGGGATCATTAGTGGTCAGAGCTTTTAACTTGAGTTTTGAAAATGGATGGCACTTGAGAGAGTGAAGGTGTAGGTGAGGAAACTAGGGGGCATATTTAGAGAACGCGCTTCAAATATTAAGAAGTCATTCTGCCTTCTCAAATAAAAGATGTGTGAAAACGATTAGTGGGGAGGGAGGGTTGGATTGTGAAGTGGGGACAAACTAATACCTTTGAGTGCTAGACTCGGTAATTTAAGGTTTATTCTTTAAGTTATGATTTGTGTTAGGAACATTAATATGTGCCAACAGTTAGCCGGTTTGCTACTCTAGCAATTGAAGGTGATATATTAAATAAAGTCTAAAGGTATAACTGTCCAGAAATAAACAGGAACCATCAGTCTGAACTAGTTTTTAAGGTAAATTTTTGTCGAACAGTAACCTGCACAGAAAGGGAATGTTGTTTAAAAAGAAAAAAAAATTATATGGTGCTTTCAAGGAAGGGAAATTAATTGAAATAAACTAAAATGCTAGTATCTCTCTTGACTTTATATTGGCTTAACTGAATAAATTGAGTTAGGTGACTTTATATTAAAATACAACTAAATTTTAGTATTAAAATGAACTTTTTGTGTTAATTTTTTTGCTTTGTAAATTCTGAATGGATAGTAATAACAAAATATGCAGATATGAGGGTCTTCTGTAATTAACAAGCATAACAAGGATCATAAACAACAATGGTAGAGACTATGACAAACTGAAATATGTGTCTCTGATATGAAAAGAGTAGCCTTCCCTTAGTTGCAGTGATCTGTTATTCATTAATTAATGCCTTTTGCATGTATAAATCTATTGCCTTATCTTCTGAGATTGTAAGAAAGGCTAAACATCTGGACTTTGTGAAATCTTGCAATTTTTCAGTGTTGATAACCACTTCAAACTTCTCAAAACACTGAAAAATAAGCACAAGACGTATCTGTAGATGGGTGTGGATGTACTTTTTACACCATTAGTTTTTAGCAATTGGAATAGACATTTTTGTTCTCTTCACGTGACCAAGAAACAGGACTAAGCCCTAAAGGTATGCCTGAAAGCTGTTTCTCTTTTTGTACTAAGGATTTTGCAATTAAATCTAAATAGCCTAATATTTCCCAAGTCTAGACCTCTTAGGTTTGTTGGAAGTGAATTGTTTGTGACTTATCCTCCAACAAAAATGAACTCAACTGTTACAGTTTTGGAAGTATTCATTAACTGTCACTTTTGATTATTATATTCATTAGCTGACCCAATGTCATAAAGTCTGTCAAGTTGTCACAAAACATTATACCTCCAAAGTAAGGGATTTAAGAATCTTAACAGGTTAAAGGGTAAGGTTTGAAACAAATTAGTACTATCTTCAGCTGTCCTTTTCTTTGGGCAAACTCAATACTGGCCATTTTTCATTAAAATGAAATTTCGTAATTGGGTTTTCTTAGGGTAGGAACAAAACTCACATTTTAATATATACTTTCTTTACATGTTGATCATTAAGAAGAAAACTGGCTTAAGAGAAATCTAGTAGCCTTAATTCTTGGCCTAAAATAATCATAAATAACATTAGACAATTTCTAAACTAATTTGAATGATCTTTCCCTGTGTTTTTGCCTTGAAGCAATGTGAATGTGCATGATCATGAATCATATTTTAGTAATTATACTAAACATAGTGTTAATAGTATGTAGAATTGTTGTAGAAATTAAATAAAACAATGCATGTAAAGTACGTAGCACTGGACCTGGCCCCATAACAGTTAATATCTTGTTTATTTACCATCACATGCTTTCAAATGAATGTTGTCAGGACAAGTATTTGGCCTGGCAGTGAAGCCACTGGTTGGGACACATGCATCCCATGTTGAAGTACCTGAGGTTCAAGTCCTGTCTCTGCTCCCAGTTCCAATCTTGCTAATCCACGCTTGGGGAAGCAGCAGGTAGTGACTCAGCTAATTGGATCCTTGCCATCCATATGATATGGGTGATCTGGGTCGAGTTCCTGACACCCAGCTTCACCCTGACCCAGCCTTTACTGTTGCAGGCATCTGTGGAGTAAACCAGCAGATGACAGTATGCTTTCTCACACTTGCTCTGTCTCTCAGACTCTTTGCCTCTCAATTACTTAATTAGATTTTAAATTTTTAAAAATGTTCAAATATTCTTATTTAACCTCTTATTTTGAGCCTTTCTACACAATAGTTTTGGAACTTAAAACTTTAATTACCTTTAAACCTGAATTATTTTCAGTTATAAAGGTTAATTTATATTATTATTATAATGATTAATTTGTATTATATAGACATCCAAAAGTCCATTTGTCTAGTAAGTAAAAAGCCAAATAATTGCTATAATTGCTATTTTTGTGTCTTTGGGCAGGTTGGGTCCAGGCCCAAAGAATGGACACTTAAATTTTCAGGTATATAGAATTCTCTGGAGACAGGCCATATGCTTTGTAGATGCATATCACCCAAGAATTTATATTTCTCCAAGTCTTGACAGTGTGAGTTTGCCAGGCCTCAAGGGAAGGGGAAAGTAAGCATTTTTAACAGAGAAAAAAAAATCCTATGACCATTTAAGCAGGGGTGGGGAATGTCCGGCCTAATGGTTGTATAAGGCTGAAAGCCTGTGAAGTTGTTTGGTCTGTCCCTACCAAGGCAGTCTAACACAAGACTAGGAAGTCAGTCAGTTCTCTAGCAGGCTAATTAAGCTGAAAATTTTGTGTGTCCAAATGAGGTTCCAAACATCCAAATGGCCCTTGGCCATAAAGAGATTCCCTACCCCTGGTTTAAAGGAATACAGAGTAATATGAGAGATGTTGATAAGATGTTCTTACATGATTACAGCATAGAATAAGAAAAAGGAAGGTAAAATTTGTAGGGAATATATCAGAGAGCTAGAAGACCATTTCTAGGATGCTACATTAGGATAAGAAACAAAGTAAGAACAGCTAGATTGGATTTCAGAATATTAGATAAAAGAAAAAGGGATGATTTTGAACTTTACGAATGTCTATACTGATCCAGCATCCTATCCTGGTGACTAATTTTCATGCTACTCTACCCTCCACACTCCAGTCCATTCTCCATATTGCCTTTACTGGTTATTTGAAATTCAGAGTTACAGAGAGAGAGAAAGAGAGAGATTGATCTTCCATCTGCTAGTTCACCCCCAAGATGGCCGCAATAAACTTGTCACATAGTAGATAATAAATGAAAGTAAAACACAGAAGCCAGAAGCTAGGAACTTCATCTGGGTCTCCCACATAGGGTGTCAGGATCCCAGACACTGAGGCCATATTTTGCTGCTTTCCCAGGCACATTAGCAGGAAGCTAGATTGGAAGTGGAACAGCCAGAACATGAACTGGCACCCATATGGGATGCCTACATCACAGGCTGCAGCTTTACTCACTAATCCACAAAGCTATTCTCCTTATCCAACACCCCTACTCCTGGTCTCTTAATTGCTTAACTCTCTTTAAAAAAAAAAAAAAAAAAAGATTTATTTATTTATTTGAAGGAGTTAGACAGAGAGAGGAGAGGCAGGGAGGGAGGGGGAGAGAGAGAGAGACAGAGACAGAGACAGAGACAGGTCTTCCATCCGATGGTTCATTCCTCAATTGGTCGCAACGGCCAGAGCTGCGCCAATCTGAAGCCGGGAGCTTCTTCCTGGTCTCCCATGCAGGTGCAGGGGCCCAAAGACTTGGGTCATCTGCTGCTGCTTTTCCAGGCCATAGCAGAGAGCTGGATCAGAAGTGGAGCAGCTGGATCTTGAACCGGTGCCCATATGGGATGCCAGCACTTCAGGCCAGCGCATTAACCCACTGGGCTACAGCGCCAGCCCCAATTACTTAACTCTTAATAGCATTTCACAGTTGATACACTTGTTCCTGTAATTTTTAGGGCTATCCCA